TTAGAGTGGTTTTCGTTTGAGTGTCGTAAAACCAAAACCAAAGTAATTACTCTGGCCAATCACATAGGACACAGACAATACATTGAACCAATCAAAACTCGAAGTAATTACATGTGGCTGACGCAAAGCGCGGGAAAATGCATGCGAGCGCGTCACAATTGGCTTTGGTTTTACTTCTGATTGGATGAAAAGGTGGCGCGAATCTTTTAAGCCAATCGCATCGTGTAGAAAGTGCAAAACCAATTACTTTTCGACACTCAAATGAAAACCGCTCTATTTAAGTTAGAGAGACAAAACTCAGCCATGAACTGTAGTCTATGGGACAATCCTACCATTTAATCATCTAAAAAAACATGACTAAAAACGGCTTAAAAACTAGACCAACTTAAATTAAAAAATATTGCCCTTCGATTCGAAAACTCTGCTTGGATGACTGAATGCTTTGATATGTATTCTTTTTTTTTAGCATGGTAGTTTTATGTTCCGACCCCACTTGTTTTAATTTGCGGATTTGCATGTTTATATTGTCCGGTTGAACTTTCCTTTTCTGTCTTTGACTGGGGTAATGCTTCTTCTTCGTTTGATCATTCGCTTAGCTTCTCACAGACGACTAATATTAAAACCGACAGTAGAATGTAACAGTTGAATAGCTTTACTTGTGTATAATTATATTCACCAGCCCTGAGTTAACGAGGACGCGCAAGGCTTGTAGAAGCGGGCTTTATTGGAATTCGAGGGTTCACTGTTGGGGTTTTTAAAAGAGAATATGGATGAAGTGTTAAAAGGTGAGAAGTATTGATAGGTTTACTGTGCAGTGATTTACGGATCCGCCCAAACCATCCGGGTGGTATCGCAAATATATAGAGAAAGAACAATAGGGGAGGTGTTAGCCAATAAGGAAGGATTGACGTCATCAAATCAGATCAAACTGATTGGATAGTGCCTTTTGTTTGTTTGAAACTTAATTATTCAGTTATTTCCAATTGAATGAGATGAAATGGGGAACAATAAAACTTTAAGGAATACAGAGGAAGTTTCTTGCTGGCAGGCCGCTTAAGCAAATTAAGATGTTCAGGCACATGAAAAGATACAGTTTTGATTCTAATAAAGCCTCTTTCCTGATATAGGATTGCTACTAACGATAGATGATAAAAAAAAAAAAATCAAAGATCGCAACATTGATCTGCAAGACAACTCTTCGACGAAACTTGGCGGTCGCTGAGGTAGACTTTAGTTTTAACCGAAGTCTAATCAGCTGGTTTCCAGTATCAGCGCCATCTATAAGGATATTAACGAATGGTGTAAACAGTCCAGGCGACAACAATCAAGTTAGCATTTTATACGGGATGGAAATGACAAAAACTATACTGTGTTTGACGATTTTTCTTTCGGGACGTAAACACAAACCAATCGATTTTAGTCCCTCTGATCGTAAACTGTACAGCAATTTGATGAGAGAAAGATTTTAGAAGTTTTACATCCTACCGGTTCACGTAATCGCCAAGCCAAATGAATATTATTCATAGCCTCGGTTTATAGGGCTTTGTTGATATTGTTTCAAACTTGCTTAAAAACAAGCACAATTCCCACAAGTCATTATAGTGCATTTCTTTTGTTTCAACAAACAATAACCATGCAATGAATTTATATCAGTCTTTTTCTCGACACATCGGGTTACACTTCAAAACACCACTCAGTGAATTTTATGCTTGTGACTGAATTACAGAATTACAGCACGCATTGTCAGAGCAACAGTATAGTCAAACAGTAACAAACATTTTTTTGGCATTTCCAATGTTCATTTGTAGTTGGGAAAGCCCCAGTTAACAGCCATTTAACTCTTACATCTCTACTGGCCACTTTAAAGAGGACCATTCTCTCAAGAGGCCAGCTCCATTAACTTTTTTGCGTCCCGAGGAGGGGCAAACTGGCATTGCGAAATCGTTTCGTCCATCCACGCGCAACTGTTACTCACAGTGAAAAAAGGCCAAATTTTCCCATTCTGTCAGTTTATGATTAAAGAAGATAAATTTGGGGCGTCGCCAAAAAGTCTGTTACACTAGTATTGCCTTACGATTTACGCATAGTACAGTGAGGTTATGCATCGTCAATTCTACAATTTCTTTTCTTTCTTTTAAGGGTTGTAACAAGCAGAAATGGGGGATTTTTTTTAAGTGTAATGACATGAATCAGTTGACTCGTTAAACGGGTGTTAGGCTTGATTCTCGTGACATTTGCTGAAACACCTGTCTCATTAACCATCGCCATTAATGTTGTTGGGAATATCATCCATTTCCAAAAAAATCTAGCAACCAAAGAACATAACGGATCGTATGGAAACCACCAATACTTATAGATCTAAGAACACTACATGTAGTGATTGACAAGTGTTTCATAGGTAAACGCCAGGAGGTGATATATCACAAACTACCCTACCTAACAACGACATTAACAACATCAACAAATAAAACCAAAGAGGCAACTTAATACAATGAAAATATCACAAATAACCCTACCTTACAACGACACGAACAACATCAGCAAAACCGCAGAAACCACATAATAACGGAGCTCCATGGCCACGTCAGGTGTCAGCCCTTTGGGGGAAGGAGTATGTTATATTTTCTTGCGGGAAATCGCGCAAGAAATGGCGTGCTATTGTCGTCGCGTTAAAAAACTTGTTTACTTTAGGAACTTGTTTTCAACTGTTTCATAGCATATAAATGATTTTGTGACCGTAGTGATCAGTTTCATTTATTTCATTTATCATTTCGTCATTTTACGCACATTTGTGAGATTTGAGACAATGATCTGACCTGGAACAGAACTTAAAAAGTCTTTAGACATTTTCTGACGGCAACTAGAAAGAAAACGTTCTGAAGAATAGTTTAGTTATCCTATTAGTTGTAAAAAGAAAGCTTTGAGCGATATTCTTGCCTGAAGTTCGTCTTGAAAAATAGCAAACACGGCGAAGGCGGCTTAAAACTTTAGGCTTAAATCTAATGGACTTAATTCGTGATTCAGGATTTTCAGAGACACTTCACTCTCAATATATGTCATCGTGAATAAAAACTGTTGTCCTTTTAAATGTTTCATTGAATTATATTTCTCGTGTTGATTGTTTGCCAAGATCTCTTTCGTATATAAATCGCTTTGCCAGTTGTTGTTTTCAGTCGTCCATTAACATCGCATGCAGGAGTACTTAAAATGCCCCGTGTATCAAATGGATATGGTGTTTTAGAAGTAAAATGAAAACGAAAATGATTCTGAGACCTCTTCCTCATTTTTAGTGTTCACTCAAATACTCGACAGTTGGCGCTTGACAAAATTCAAAATTCGGACGGGTGATTTTGAAAATTGAATTAAAATAAATCTGATTTTTTTCGGGAGTTTTTGCTCTTAGCCCAGCTATTATTACCCCTTTAGACAGAGAGATAACACCGATAAGTTATAACGTGTAAATTGGCTGCCAGTATCGTGTCTTTACGGCCTTTCAAATTATAAAATTAAAATAAAATTATATTTTGGGACTGTCCAATTACACTTGTACAAATAAAGGCGGTGTAGGTGGGCAAAAAAGACATTTTACTTGGGAAGAATTTGTTTTCCACGCCTAATCTACTGTGGCAAGAAACTTATGGCTCTTGACTGTGGCTAAAGGTGATTTCTATTTATTAGGTTTACAAAAAAAAAACTATTAACTCGATGTAAGATATTAGATGTTGTTTCATTCTTGCACTGTTTGCAAATTATTTTTTCTCTTAAGTCACCCATTCCAACTCTTTATAACGTTAAAAACGTCATATGGATCTCCACAGTTAACCGATTTGTGGATTACAAGTTTATTGTTTGAATTAAATTATAAATTTGCAGTATTAACTGGAGCTGCGCTTTTAGCCCTGGCTAAATCTATATATTAAACATATTATATACGAAGATATGACCATTTAAGTTGTAATCGTAATTCAAATGAACTGCAAATTAAGACCTGCGAACGAAAAAAATTTCGGGGGCTTTAAAGGCCTCTGCGTTCGCGCTACAGTACTCTTGACTACCACCTGAGCTGAATGAAGGCACGAAACATTAATAGGAGGCTAACTTAGTAAGCTCGTTTAGCTTAACCCGTGAATGGGTCACTAAGTATACATAATTCATTGTTGGTCACTTCCTATTCTGTGGCGAAACGGTTTTTACTGAATTGTGTATTACGTAAAACAAAAGGAACGATTGTGTTTTCAACTGCGGACTGGCCGTGAAGTCTTCGACGGTCCGGTTTCATGGAATCAGTCGAATAAATTATTGCGAAACTAACACTCAAATTCACTTTTTAGAGCATTCCTAATTGAGTTAAATTTATCTGTTGGAAAGAGATCATGTAAAGTGGCAAATGGCACCAAGCGCACATTTATTATGTATTTCTAATCATAATATAGAGGTGGTTAGCTCGAAAGCTAAGCTCCTCTGACCACCGTACACTTCTACCCAAGCCATTAATTTTCTTTTTTTTCCTTCTTCTTCTCCGTTATTAGTGTATTCCTACCTTACTATTGATAATGTAAATATTTTATAAAAGTGTGAATAATGAAATTGAATTGAATTGAATTGAAAGTTTGCCTAAACATTTCGCTCAAAGTAAAATTAAGTGAGCTGTTAAAGTTGTGTCTAGTTGGTTAGGGTAGTTGGACAGTTAGAATCTTATACTGATTCCGAAATACTTTTTCAAGTAATTGATATTCCGTAGAAATGATTCCTTTAAAAAAAATTGTTTGTTTAGTTGAAGACCTGCTACACTATAGCAACGCTTGTCTCACCTCACTTACTCACAGCCTCGCATCGCATCATAATCTTGCGTAATAACGACAAACAACGTTAATGGCTTCATTACCATATAAGCTGATACACCTGTCTTAAATTTTACTGAGTGACAGCTAATATTCTACGCTCTCTTAAACGAACTCCTTGAAACACTTTGCACAAATCAATCCTGTTTCTCACAAAATATGCATCTCTGGCTGCTTTTTTTGACTAGCACTACCGTCTACGGTATTGGCCGTATTTTGGAACCAAGTTTCGAGGCCGTGAACTTTGCTTCCCCAATAAACGGGCGAAGGCTGACTGGAAACACGATCCAAGAAATACAAGTGGACGCAGAAAGTCGTTGCAGAGTTGAGTGTGTTAAGAAAGAGAGTTGCATTTCTTACAACTTCCAGATGGTAAAGAACACAACTGAGGGGTACACATGTCAGATCAGTAACTCTGATCGATTTGTTAGCGTTGTTAACTTCACAACGGATGAGGATTTTAAATACGTAGGCATGCAAGTAAGTCCTCCCTTTTTGTTCTTTGAAGTCCTTAATTATCTTAATTTATAACATATAACTCGAAAACATCACTTTTTGGTATGTGTTAGAGTGCAAGAAAAACTGGTATCGTGACTGAAGTAAGAATTAACCATTCCGTCAAGTTCAATTCTTCGTCCTTAAAATAGAAACTGAAGAGAAACTTGCAATTGTAATTGTACCCCCGCTTTTCAAGTAAGTGAGCAGAAATAGAAAAGATATAATTACATCGTTGCCTCTATTGTAAACAACACTTACCCAGTTAACGTGTCTTAGCAAAATGATATTAACAATAGTAATAATAATAATAATAATAATAATAATAATAATAATAATAATAATAATAATAATAATAAGAATGATTGACTTGAGTGACTGACGCTCTAGGTGCATGGTTTGCGCCCGGCTGATGCGCAAAAAGAACACCAGCAAAGACTGTGATAATAGAGATAATAATAATGATGATAATAATAATGATAACTGAATAATACTACTACCAATGATAGCTGTTTTCGTAATTTCGAAGAAAATTTTTCTCTCCTCTAAACAGTCGTTACACATTCTTTTNGATTGACTTGAGTGACTGACGCTCTAGGTGCATGGTTTGCGCCCGGCTGATGCGCAAAAAGAACACCAGCAAAGACTGTGATAATAGAGATAATAATAATGATGATAATAATAATGATAACTGAATAATACTACTACCAATGATAGCTGTTTTCGTAATTTCGAAGAAAATTTTTCTCTCCTCTAAACAGTCGTTACACATTCTTTTTCGAACTATTTTTGGTGGTGCGATCTTAGGGATCTTTCAAATCTCGCATGAAACCAGCAGCTCTTTCGTGGCGCCTTTCGTTAAAGTTTATTGTCGCTGTTAAATTTGCGCAAGTATCGCATTAGTCACGAAACATGGCATCTGCTCATCAAAAGCCAATGTCATTAACGGGTACTCTATTCTTATAATCTACCGATATGATTCATTAGTGGTGCGGTATTATAATAGTGCATTATGTGTATTTAAACTCAAGTTTTCGATGCCTGTATTTAAATCCGGTTAGGTGGGAGGTACTCAAAAAGTTTTGTACGGAGAGGCTGTGCCCCGTGGTCCAACCCAGTACCTTTTATAGACCGAATACCGAATTATATCAGAATAAAAAATAAAAAAATCGCCAAAAAAATATTACCCGTGTATACATTTTCTTGTTCCCCTCTTTAAACGGCTGGGTATTATTTTTCTTGATTATTATATTTTGCTCTGCAATAAACACATCGGTACGTTCGCAGACATGGACACTGATCCGATTGTATCCCCCCCCCGCCCTGAGGTGCAAATTCCTCGCAGAAATGACACCCGTGCTCATTTCGTAGTCATTAACAATTTATAGCACTCGACAGTTCTATCTGAGCTCTGATACAAGGTAGCATACAAACCCAAAACCTTTTTCTTCAATTGGAAGCAACGTACCACCGCAGTTAAAGCCGTTGAAGATTCATTGTAATACATCAAAATGTATATGAGCAGGAGTTAGAGCTAATACCGTCCAGGGGATATTATGTCAAGGAACAAGTCATTCGATTTCAGAGAAAGACTTGAAGCAATTCATAGTGCTTCTAAAGCTAAAAAGTACCTTGTAAAGAATTGCACATATTACCATCGATCAATGAAATCTGAATATTTCATGATATTATTGACGAATGATATGTGTTGTTCTTTGCAAAGTTTTACAGCCAATCGCGTTAAAAACGAAAAAGTTAAGACGGAAAGTTGGTCAAATTAAAGCTCAATGCTCTTGTATTAATGACGGAGCTAGCTTAATCACAAACAACTGTACAATAAATAGTGTCGAAAACGGAACCAGATTCAGTTACGATACCAGAGGCCAAAATCCCGAGAAAAATTCCGTATTTTTGTCCCGGCATCCACTCTTATTTCTACAAGGATTGTGGCTGCACGATTTCAACGTGTCTTTTAAGGCAAAAAAGCTATTTTTTAAATTATAATTATTATGATGGTATTGGAAAGCCTAACTAGGGAAATCTTTTAAATTAATAATCTTACCTTCTTTACGTTGCGAGAAAGATATACATGAGATATGTCTTTTTTTATCATGCGTTTGAGCTATAATTTGAAACGATTGGCAAATCCTGTGCAAGAATAATC